TCTTTCTTTCTTTCTTTCTTTCTTTCTTTCTTTCCTTTTTCTCTCTTTCTTTGTCTTTTGTGTGTGTGTGTGTGTGTGTGTGTGTGTGTGTGTGCGCCAAAACCCAGGAGCAAACGTAACTGACTCTTTTAACTAAGTGCATAGCATTCCATTTGGATATCAGATTGGGAAGGTTCCATACAGCCCGTAGCAGTAGGACGTGCCCAAACCATCAAACAAAATTAATTGCAAGAGATGAGGTGTTTGCTTGCTAGGAAATGCAGAGAATAAAGGCATTTCATTCTCTGAATGATTACGGTCAACTGGAACAGAGAGAATAGACTATGCAATCGTATTTCTTTGTGGATGGCAGATAAACATGGAATTCTTCTTATAAACACACTGGTAGGCCTCAAGACTCATAATGAAAGAACCCCACAAAATAAACACAGGCTCCTGTAACATCTGGTTAGCCAGGTAGGCGGCCTGGCTCACCTGAGACACTGACTGAACATTCCCCTCTAGGCAACCCCGTGGGATGTAGCAGGTTTTTTTTGTTAAGAGCAGCTCAAGAGGCTAGCTTGTGTCAGAAGTTGAAGTCTGTCTCGCTTGGAGAACATTGGAAATTCTGTAGACAGACTCGTTTTCCCCAAGCTGGCACTGCCCCCTAGCCTGTATCTGAAGCCTCACCCACCATATGCAGTACCTACCATGTCCTTCCATGTCCCTCCACTCAATCTATTATAGACCCTTGTGAACACTTAATAGAAGTGACCTATTTATTTTTTTATTATTTTAATGTTTTATTTATTTTTGAGACACACAGAGACAGAGCATGAGCCAGGGAAAGGGCAGAGAGAGAGGGAGACACAGAATCCGAAGCAGGAACCAGACTCTGAGCTGTCAGCACAGAGCCCAACGCGGGACTCGAACCCACAAACCGTGAGATCATGACCTGAGCCGAAGTTGGACGCTTAACCAACTGAGCCACTCAGGTGCACTAGAAGTAAGCTATTAAAAAAAAAAAAAAAGTAAGGGGCACCTGTGTGGCTCGGTAGGTTGAGCATCCGACTCTTGATTTCAGCTCAGGCCATGATCCCAAGGTTATGGGATCAAGCCCCTGTTGAGCTCTGTGCTGAGCCTGGAGCCTGCTTTAGATTCTCTCTTCTCTTCTCCCTCTGCCCCTCTCCCCTGCTCACACTCTTTCTCTTAAAAAAAAAAAAAAAGTGATATTTTAGAAAGGTGAGGTAAAGGAAATCTGTAGGTTTCTAAATTTAAAAAAAACATTTTATAACATTCCCTTCCATCAACAGAGCCTCTTGAGAATATGGCATAGGTTTATACAAGCTCATACTCTGGGAATCTATCGCTGACATTCAGATCACATTTTTCTGAACAATGTTTTTGTTTATCACAAAATATATTTGCAAAGGCAGTCTCAAATACTTTCAATAATCAGACCAAAGTAAAAATTATATATCAATAGAAAAATGCAACTTAAAAGTGTTTTGATTTTTTTTTTTTTAGTTCCTCATTTTTCTTTCCCTAGCACATTTCCCGATTCTCCCTTGATCTCTTATTCTTCATTTTTCTGAGCAATTTTCAGATACTTCCCTGTAAAGCTTCCCCTTTGGGGCAATCATTTCCCTTTTCTTTTCTCCTGTACGTGGCTGTAACACAGTGGCCAAGCCTTCTAAGTCAATGTTGGTTTGCATCACAGCACGTAGAGAGAATAGGGCACAACTTGTGACAGGTGTATGGCATCATGAATTTTCAGCTGGTGAACAGGCTCAAGTAACCAGCAGCTTCATAAAGAAATGAAATATAAGCAGCACCTTCCCCAGTTGACCCTAATCATTAAAAAGATTTTAGTGTGTATCGGGGCTCCTGGGTGGCTCAGTTGGTTAAACGTCTGACCTCGGCTCAAGTCATGATCTCACGGTTTGTGAGTCCGAGCCCCGCGTCGGACTCTGTGCTGACAGCTCGGAGCCTGGAGCCTGCTTCAGATTCTGTGTCTCCTTCTGTCTCTCTTCCCCTCCCCCGCTCACACTCTGTCTCTCTCTCTCAAGAGTAAATAAACATTAAAAAAAAATTAAAAAAAAAAAAAGATTTCGGCGTATATGTAGCTACAGATTCATTTTGTATTTTTTTTTCTCTCTTTCTCTGAAGGGAATCATCCAGGGTGTTCTCTTCTGCCTCTGTCAACTTTCATTCATCGTTATATTTCCGATAATCATCTATCTTGTTGCTGGCAGCAATAGCTACCCATTTTTCTGTAAAATAAGCTGCTGTATGAATATATCCTAATTTATGTATTTACTCTACGGTTGAGGAACGCTTGAGTTGTCTCCACTTTTTGGTTTCGAAATATACCATTACAATTATGTGACTTGGGTGGATCATACTGTTAGAAACCATCCTGATGCCTTTTTTGGCAACGTGCGAATATGAGTGCGTATTTCTGTGGGGGCCACGTAGAGCTTTGTTCGCAGGGCGTTAACCCAGAGCGGGAATGGCAGCATCACAGGGACATTCAGCCTCATAGACACACCCAAATACTTTTTCAGAGTGCTTACCCACCACACAGCTCAGGATTCCACACCCTGCCCACCCACAGCATACTCAGTCTTATCTGTTGTACTGTTAGTTTTTACGGATTCCGGCCATCTTGACAGGTAGTCTGCTACCTCATTGTGGTTTGAGCTCACGTCTTCCCACTCCCTGATGATGGTGACCTGTAGGTGTGTGTTGCTCACTTGGCCATTTTGGCTCAGGACATGACCATTCAGTTATATCGGCATTTAAACATGAATGGGTCATGTTACTTTTTCTTATCACTGTGTAGGGATTTGTATATATTCAGAATACTCTTTCTTTGTTAGATGTACATGTTGTGAGCATTTTCTCCCAGTTGGCGGCTTCCATTTTCGTCTGCGAATAGGTCTATGGAATAGGTGTGCAGGATAGAAGTTTGCAATTTTCACAAAATTCTTTACGTTGAGGGTTTTTTTGTGTCCCACTTAAGAAAATTTGGCCTTGGTCATAAAATTTGGCCGAGGCTAGTTTCCTGTATTTCTTCTGGCAGTTTGATTGTTTTAACTTTAACATTTAAGGTATGTTACTAGGGTGGAAGTGATTTCACAGTGGTGCAAGAGAAGTGTCCAGAGTAGTGTTCCCCCACAGTCATAACAAGATGACCATGGGGAGGAGAATACATATTCTGTTGTATGAATGGATCCATTTGTGTCTAAACCAGGACCGAAAGATCTCAATAGCTATGGCAGTATGATAGATCTTAACACGTGGAAGTCTTCTATATATCATGGAAGGTTAACATCCCTCTTTTGGTTGTGTTTCATTTCTCTGGAACATTTCTAAATTTTTGGTGTAGAACTCTTGACCCTTTATATTATACCTGTTTCTGGGCATTTTTCAAGTTTTGATGCTATAATGCTATAATAAATGTTATTTTCTTATTGAAAATTACAAGGGAATTTCATTTTCTTATTGTTTATGACAAATATGGAGATATAATTTGATTGTAATATGCATATTTTATCTGCCAATCTTGCTAAATTCATATGCAAACATGGATTTATATGGAGATTCTTCAGGATTTTCAGCACATACCATTATATGGTATGTAGATACTGGCTTTTATTTTTTTCTTTTAAATCTTGATAGCCTCCTTACTTTCTTTTCTTATTTTATTTCATGGGATGGTACTCTTAATAGAAAGATGACTGGAAGTGACAATATTAGGCATCCCTACCTCGTTTTGGATCCCAGGGCAAAGCTTTCGATGTTTTATCATTAAGCACGTTGTTTGCAGTAACCCCGCCATAGATCTAGTTGAATGTTATTTGATTAACTTCCTTATATTAATACTTTTCAAAGTTATTATTATTTTCAGTCAGGAGTGGGCATCGAATACTATTAAATGTTTTCTGACATTTACTGAGATGATCATATGGCTTTTATTCTTTACTCTTTAGTATTGGAAAAATTTTTTTAGTATGTATTATTTTTTAAGAAAGAGACAGAGAATAAGCAGGGGAGGGGCAGAGAGAGAGGGAGACACAATCTGAAGCAGGCTGTAGGCTCTGAGCTGTCAGCACAGAGCCCAACACAAGGCTCAAACTCAGACTGTGAGATCATGACCCGAGCTGAATTCAGCTGCCCAACTGACTGAGCCACCCAGGCATCCCTACTCTTTAGCATTATAAATTGTAACAGTTGGTTTTCTAATATGAAGCCAACCTTGCATTACTAGAATAAAGCCTACTTGGTTGAAACAGATTATCTGCTTAATGTATTACTGGATTTAATTTGTCAATATTTTGTTCACGATTTTTGCACGTACTTAATGAAAGAGAGAAACCTGTAAATTTCTTTTTTTTTTTTTTTTAAATTTTTTTTCAACGATTATTTATTTTTGGGACAGAGAGAGACAGAGCATGAACAGGGGAGGGGCAGAGAGAGAGGGAGACACAGAATCGGAAACAGGCTCCAGGCTCCGAGCCATCAGCCCAGAGCCCGACGCGGGGCTCGAACTCACGGACCGCGAGATCGTGACCTGGCTGAAGTCGGACGCTTAACCGACTGCGCCACCCAGGCGCCCCTAAATTTCTTTTCTTTGAATATACTAGTTAGGTGTGTAATACCAAGTTTATGCAGGCCTCTTAAAATGTAATGGTATTCCTTTTCTGTTATATTCTAAAATAATTTGTGTAACATTTATCTTGTTCATTGATGTTGGGAAGAATTCACCAGTGAAGTTTAAATTTTCTTGGTGGAAAGGTTTCTTAGAGATTCAAAGTTCTTTTTCAGAAAAATAAAGTCGTGAGACATTCTATATCTTATTGTGTTCGTTTTGGTAAGATGGTGGATTGTTGTCACATTATCACATTATCTAAATATCCAGCCACAGTGACTAAAGTATGATTCCTAGTATTTGTTCATCTGTTTTCATGTCTATACTGTATGTAGTAATGTCGTATTTTGGATACTAGTAGCTTGTGCATTTTCTCTTGTTTCCGAAGTCTTGTTAGGGTACTCACCATTTCATTACATTGTTCAAAAGGCCACCTCTGACTTTTGTTTCTATTCTTTTAATTTCTACTGTTATACTGATTATTTATTTCTGTATAATTTGATGTAATCGGATATGCTCCTTGAAAAGGACATTTAGATCATTAATTACCAGCTTTTCTTCTTTTCTAGCATTATAAATATCATATCGGGCAATAATTTCCATACTTATATTTAGTTGCATCTCACAAATTAGGAGATAACCAAAATATTTTCTCATTTTCATTGTAGCTCCTTTTTAGGCTCATAGGTTATTTGCAGATGTATTGTATAATTCCTAGACATTTTGTAATTTTCTAGATATCGATTGATAATCTCTGTCTTATTTCTGCCATAAGCAGAGTACATACTCTGTGTGATTCAAGTCCTTTAAATACAATGGAACTGGTCTGTGATCAATTTCAAAGAATGTATATTCTGCAATTGTTTGCTAACAGTGTTGTGTATAAGTCAGTCAATGTGGTAATTATTTCAACATTCTGTCTGCTTATTCCATGAGTTACTAAAACAAATTGTTACAAATCCCCACTACTGTGTTGAATTTTTCTCTTTACAGCTGTTTTTGCTTCATGCATTTTGTGCTAAATTTTAGTCTCATAGAAATTTTAAATTGCCATATATTCCTGATTGGTTTAACATGTTATCATTGTGCAATGTCCCTTTTCATCACTTTTATTTATTTTTTCATGAATTGAGTATTGCTAAATCACATTTTTGTTATTATTGTTTGCAGGTATATCTTGTTTTATCTTTTTACTTTCTAATTTTCTTAATCCATATGTTTAAAGTACTTTAATCCAGTTCATAATCTTTGTCGTTTAATTAGAGTATTTAGTAATTTTGCATTTGATGTAATTACTGATGTTTTGGGGTTTAAATCTGTCATTTTATTATTGGTTTCTATTTATTCCATCTGTTCTTTGTGCCTTTATATCTCATTACTTGTCCTTTTTTAATCGCAAAAGTATTTATATTTGCTTTTTTGTACTTTAAATTTGCATTATGCATCTTATTATTGTTCTGTAGCAGCATAGAACTCATTACTTTATTACCTTCAGCATTTTTTGCCATGTGTTTTAATGTTATATTTTTTATTCACTCTGATTCTCACAAAGCCTCTTTAAGAAAATAAATTCTTAGAATCCAGTTATTTGAGTTGTTATGTGGTTGGTGGAACAAGCCTATCAGTTTTATTTTATTTGAATTATATTTTTGTGTTTCTTTATTTACAAACTCTCCATAGGATCACAAAATGTTAAAATACGGCTTTTATTTGTTCTCTGTATTTTGCACAATTATTTAAAAATTCTATAATTTTTAATTTTAAGTGTCCGACTGCTTGTATCCTTTTCTTTTAACAGACTTTTATTGGAGACATCCTCTTGCTTGTTAACCCATTCAAAGAGCTTCCAATTTATTCCACCATGGTGAGTATAAAATTTTGAATACCATTTAATAATGTAGGGTAACACCCACTAGACGTACCTATCCATATCAAATGATCGATTGAGAAGAAACCTGCAAACAATAAGTAAAGTCAGAAACTTCTCAGAAAATTCTAAACTGAATATTTGCATAATAGTGACTTTAATTTGTCCTGAGACAAAAATGGAACAGGATGTTATTTTTATCAAAAGATTCCTTTGCACTTATAATGTGTAATTTTCCTATAATTGTAGTCACTAGACAGACTTCTAAAATTAAATAATGCATTACTCTGTTTTCCATTCCTTCCTGACTAATTCAAGGTCAGTTGGTGTAAAGTATTTTAACATCATGACCTCTTTCAGAAAAGTTCTATGATGTTAGAACCGTGAGAATAAGAAAGGATATTATTGCATTTATACATTTTTCCAAATGACTTTCTCCTTTAAATTATGAGACTTTCAAAATTTAAAGAGCAATTGCTTTTGGAAAATTATTCCAGGCAACTGAAAACACAGTATGATTTTTGAGTAGTAAGAGATCAAAATATCATTGTGCAAGCTCTCTCTCTGTCTCTGTCTCTGTCTCTGTCTCTCTCTCTCTTTTGTTCACAAGGCTGTTTCCAGTTAAAGCAGAATCCCTCGTAGGGAGCAGGAACATGACAAACAGGAGAGAGGAGTAGACACAGGTTCTTGAAACAGGGACATGCTCAGAGAAGTTGGAGAGGGAGGTGGCAAGAGGAAGTGTGGAGAAGAGGGAGAGGGAGAGGGGAAGGGATAGAGACATCACCTTCTTGAAGCTCCCAAGGAATCATTGAAGAATTCTTACAGAAACACCTCCTGAGAAAGAGAGTGCATCCTAACTACCCCAACCTCCACCCTTCTTCCCAAAGTCCCTTCCACCGTTGCTTTGAAACCACTGCCCCTTGCTTACTGTCCTTATTCCACTCGGCCCAATCCCAGCCTTAGCCCTGGGCAGTCTGACTGTGTGGGCGCATGATAGCCCAGGACAAGAGGGATCAGCAGTTCTGCCAGAGGAGTAACATTAACCTGTGATTATTAGATAGACATATGGACTACTCATGTTTTTATTTCTTTTGATGTCAGTTTTTAGTAATTTTGTTTTTCAAGGATTCTGTTTCTTACATTTAATCTTCAAAAGTTTTTGGCATATAATTATTCACGATCCTATTTTTTTAATGTGTGTAGAATTTGAGTGATTTATTTTCATTCCATATGTTGGTAATTTGGGCCTTCTCTGACTTTTTAAAATCCGTTTGCTAGGAATTTATTGATTGTATTACTCTTTTCAAAGAAAAGCATCTCTTGACTTTTAATTTTTTTCTAGTGTATATTTATTCTCTATATAATTGATTTCTGCTTCTTTATTTTTGTTGTCTCCTTCTTTCTAAGTTCTTGGAGTTTAATTTGGATAGTTGTTTTAAGTTATAACATTATATTTTGAACTTTTGCCTTTTATAAGTATTTGGGGCTTTTTATTTTGCCTTACACAACCTTTACAGAATTTTTCATCTTTGGTTTTTCATAAGTTCATTATTATTCAATTTAAGAGACGGAGAGAGAGAGAACCCCTGCTATTTAAAGTTGACATTTAGTGTGTTGTTCCTGGCTTATATTTATGTTTTTACATTTGATCTTAGACTCAGTAAGAATCTTCTGGTGAGACAAAAGCTAGTTTTAACTAATTGAATAAAATATATACACATATATATATTTTATTTAAATGCTTCTATAGACCTAGAGGTCAAATTCTAAGTATTAGGGAAAATTTAACATAATAAATTATTTTAGTATGGCATTACTTATCATGTTATAATGTATAGTGTATCTCAAATGAAACAAACCTGTGACTTTGTGGTTTGTTTTTAGGGTGTTAACAGTGTGGCAGTTTGACACCTTCAAATATCAAGGTGTATTTTCAGTTCTTTCAGAAATACACATTAATAGAGAAAGGAGAGACACATCAAGAAACATATTTCTATATTATTGTAGGAACAAGATATGATACATTGAGGTTTTTGCAGGAAAAGTTCATTAAAACTTAAAATTGTGAATGCAACATATAACTTATATGTATTATCCTTTATATCTATCATTTCCAACAGACGCTGGCATAGAAAGTAAGAGGAAAATAAATCTATTTAGGTAAAATATGCACTGATAAAAAGCTTGAGGAAAAAATAAAGAGAAGGGCATCTGTTGGAGACACAGGTTTTTAATTTGTGGGCCTAGGAGGATGCATAACAAAAAAGAACATGAAGGAAAAGAAAAATTTTTGAGGAAAAACCAGATTCAGGTGAATATGTGAAGTTTTTGGAGGTTAAATTGAAATAATGTTGAGATTTGACATCGGATGCAAGATTAGGAATAATTCGCATGAGTATTTCATTTTGTAAGATTTCTAAGACTCATACCACATTTAAGAATGAGGTGGAGGGGCACCTGGGTGGCTCAGTTGGTTAAGCAACTCTTGATTTTGGCTCAGGTTATGACCTCATGGTTTGTGAGTTTGAGCCCCGTGGCGAGCTCTGTGACCGTGCGGAACCTGCTTGGGATTCTCTCTTTCCCTCCCTCTCTGCCCCTCCCCTGCTTGTGCTCTCTCCCTCTCTCTCAAAATGATAAACATTTTTAAAAAGGAATGAGGGAGAAAAATAATAGAAAGCAATGAAGAAGGAGGAGAGTTAAAGGGGGAGGAGGAACAGGAGGGAGGAGGGATGGAGAGACAACAGTGACGAGACAGATGGCGGCCACTAAAGAACCAGATCTAACACATTGTCGAGGTAGTAATCAGAAAGGATGAACTTCTTGGTGTTTGTATCATTGCGGAAACCAGCGAACAAGTGAACGTCCTGAGGGGGAGCACGTTAGCAACAGATACACAATTATCCCCTCAAGCAACAACATCAGGCTTTTCTCAGGTATTCCTCACCATGACCTTTACCATGGACTTCATGAACCAAAGATCTACCACCTGGACATCTCCCATGTACGAAATGACGACACCATTCCAGATAAACTACCTGGAGATTATCTCTCAAAATTATGGTTTTGCGTACACAAGGGCACAAAAATGATCGTACCCGTTTTCTTTTCAGCTGCTACTGGCAGTGACATTAAGCTGTCCCATTGTGTAAAGTGGCATGAGTGTGGGATGCCTGGCTTAGGGCTTCATTAGCTTTCAGATTCTGATTACTGTCGGTCTCCTAATATTCCCATTGCGTGTTCGAGTTTGGCGCGGAGCTGGAGGGACTGAGCAGAGCTCATTGCCTCTGGACGAGTGGTGCTGGAAAGAGACCTGGTGCTGTCTGGGGTTCATCACGTGGCAGGCCTGCTGCAAAAGTCATCACATATGTCATCACATAATCACAAAAGGCAACGCAATCAGTATAAGAATTATTATTTCCATTTGGAGGTGATAAAAGCCTCATGTGGATTTAGCAAATTTTCTAAAGCCTTCCACGATGGTAGGGACAGAATTTAAATCCAGGTCACCTAACCCCAGAGCAAAATGCGTGACAGACTCTTCTCTCAGCACAAATGCCAAGCCCTCAGGCAATTTTTTAATTATTATATGTCCTCCTTTGTAAAACACTTTTTCAGAATATGTCATCTGTATATAGTTATATAGATCATGAGTAGGTAACCCACTCACACAAGTAGAGTGACCTATTCATACCATACTGTGACGCCAAGAGCCCCTGTGAGTCACGCTGTTGACGTCAGGGAGGTTCCACGGGTTATGGGATCTGGACAGCTGGGGGGCCTGGGCCTGGCCCTCTCATCCACTGTGGGACTGCGTGGCTGGTTTCAAACATCCGAATGGGGCAGGATTCTGCAGTCTCCCAGCAGTTTACTGAGAGGGGTCGTGCATGGTGGAAAGAGGGAGGGAAGATTCTTTAAAAAAGAAAGACCTTATTCATTGGAACTAGAGAGTCCAGCACAGGGAGGTACCCATGAGTGAGGCTGACGTGATGCCATGTCCCCCATGAGCTACAACAGAGCACTTAAAATTTCCGCCGACCAGAATTCTCTGGTTTCCATATGATGCAGACGGGGAGAGAATGAGGTGAAGTGGAGAGAGAAGGCACGCGCGAAAGAGAGTGGCTGACGCTGATGATATTTGCTGGACCACATGAGAATACGCAATAATGTTATTAATGCTGAAGGCAATGGTAGCCAATCTAAAGGTTACATGGCTTGTCAGAAAACGAGAACTGTGTCAGTGAAAATCTTCAAGCTTCACTAGGAAAAAATAGAATTAATTATTATCTATTTAATATTATTATTAAGTTATTGGCATTATTATTATTGACATTATTATTTTGTACTGACATTACATATAAAGCATAGAATCAGCATCAAGCTAAGTCTTACCAGGTGGTAGCGGTGGAATATTCTACAATGTAAAGTCTAACACTGCATGGAAAGGAGAAGGCTTATAAGAAAAGAGATCTGAGAAAGGTTATTAGCTAATCATGAAAAAACTTAGATACCCAAGATCCATTACGCCTTTAATGTCTCGTAAAACTTTGCCTAAATAGAAGATGTGACACTAAGTAGTTTGAAGAAATGGCGTAGGACTCATATATGCTCCTGGCTCTCTTCTGCCTGGCCTTGTTTGTAACGTTTAATGAAATTCTCAGCAAGATTTTACAGATTGAGTTTGAAAGCATTCTGTTAGAGTTTGATCAGGCCCATGTTGGACTTGGGATGTGAAATGGTGTTAGTACAAGTGTTCAAAAAGAACAGATATTTGTCCCACAAGAAAATACAGCTAGGCTAATACTCCCTGGTCAGTTTATGAGTTATAGTGTATACATTGCTATCATTAATTATTTTGATAGCCATTTTAAATTCTGGAATAACCAAAAATACAAAAATTTGAAAACTATTTCAAATAAAGAAGTCGTATTTGTTCAAATGCTCTCCTGAGATTGGGATGCAGCTATAAAGAAGTGGTAAGAACACATCGTGCCTTGGTTTAACTGTAACGTTTATTTTCTGTGCAGTACAGAAAATAAAGCTATGTTTTAATTATATGGTGTCTTAGATCAGATGGTGTAGTGTGCTATCAACAGAGGCAAATTCCTTTTCATGAGCAATGACAACCACTTCCCTGAAACTATTATCCTTTCATCTAATCTTTATACGTACACACATATAATCACCCCCTCTTATCTGAGCTTTCGCTTTCCATGGTCTCACTTACCCGCGGTCAGCCAGGGACTGATCTTCCTTCTAATGTAGCATCAGAAAGTCAGTAGTGGCCTTGGGCGCCTGGGTGGCTCAGTCGGTTGGGCGTCCGACTTGGGCTCAGGTCACGATCTCGCAGTTCGTGGGTTCGAGCCCCACGTCGGGCTCTGTGCTGACAGCTCAGAAGTTGGAGCCTGCTTCCCATTCTGTGTCTGCCTCTCTCTCTGCTCCTCCCCCGCTCGTGCTCTGTCTCTCTCTCTCTCTCCTTCAAAAGTAAATAAAAACATATTAAAAAATTAAGAAAAAAAAAAAGAAAGTCAGTAGTGGCCTGATGCTACATCACGTGCCTGCGATACTCACTGCACTTTGTCTCATCA